CACCACCACCATCATCACCATCACCACCATCATCACCACCACCACCACCATCATCACCATCACCACCAACATCACCACCATCACCACCATCACCATCATCATCACCACCACCACCACCACCACCACCACCATCACCATCACCACCATCACCACCACCACCACCACCACCATCATCACCATCACCACCCTCACCATCACCACCACCATCACCACCATCACCACCACCACAACCACTACCACCACCATCAGCAGGAGCAGCAGCACCATCAGAAAAGCCTCTTTTGCACTACCAGCCATTCCTCTTCCCTCCCACATGCCCACAATGCACAGCCTTTTGGAACCAAGGGTGAGAACCAAGATCCCAAAGGTTCATGAGCTCCACATCATGCAACCTCACACATGTGACCTTGAGCCAGATGCCATGGGACACTTAGCTGCAGTGGCTGAAGCAGTGGGGCAGAAATAAATAATGCAGGCACAGGCTGGAAATACCAGGTTTTCATCAGGGCACCACACATATTGACTAAATCAGTGGTTTTCAGCCTGGCCAGGAGCCATCTGCTCCACTGCCTCCCCTGAGCACCCCAGGGTCATTAGGAGGCAGAGGGAGAAGCTCCGAGGAAGGAAGACTTTGATGGAAGGGCAGGTAAGCAGGGAAGCTCCCCTGGACACTAGGGCAAGTGGAGCTGGCAGACAGGGCAGCCCCGCTATGGGTGATTAAGCCCAAACACTGTTTTGTAAATGGCTCTGGAACACAACATACAGGCTGCCACTGCCACGTGTCAGCTCCGCTAGCTCCAGGGATGTGTTTAGAGAAGGCTTTTCCTCCAGCCCCATAACTGCCAAGGCCCATTAGAGAGACAAAGGTGTGGAACCTCTCCAGGTGGCCAAATGCTTTGTGTGCCTGTACCAGGTAGGCTGCATCAGGCACACATGTCCCCAGCAGAATGCTGGATCAGAGGGGAACGTGACTAAACACTTCAGGAAGAGGAATGGCTATTTAGTGCCATCTCTGCTGAGAACGACGAGAAGCCAGGATGGTTGGTGTCACATAGTTTGCCGTTTGGCTCCTGCCCTCTGGCCAGGACCTTTCCCACCACCTAAAGATATCTTTTCCAAGAATTTTAGCCCATTTTTCCTCTATGTGTTTAGAAACCATCAGCCAGAGGGGTGCTACACTCCAAGACTGGCTTTAGAAAATGCTCTCTAATAACACTCTCAAGTTCCCAGGTGTCAGCATCTTTCCTTCAATCCACCCTCCCTCCCTTCTAGTCTTCTTTCCCCCCTCTCTCTTTCTCTTTCACTCCTTCATTCATTCAGTGAGGCAGCTTATCAGAGTGGTCAAGAGCACAGACTTTGGAACCAGATGACCAGGATCAGAATACCAGCTCTGTTGCTCACAAGCTGTGTGACTCTGTGCAGGCTACTGAACCTCTCTGTGCCTCAGTTTAATCATTTGTTCAATCAAGATACCTATTTCACAGGGTCGTTATGAAGATTAAATTAGTTAACATTTGCTAAGCATTTAGAATAGTACCTGGCACAGAGTGAGGGTTATATAACAGTTTACGTAAAAATACATTTATTTAGCAAATACTTGATGAGGGCTCTCCATATACCAGGCAATGTTCTTGGGACACATCAATGAACAAAACAAAGATTGCTGTCCTCAGGAAGCTGACATGCTAGCCAGGGAGCTCAACAATAATAAACATAATAAACAAGGAAGTTATATATGAGCGTTACGTGCTGTGGAGAAATAAAAAGTAGGGCAAGGAAAGGGGAATTAGGAAGATGGGGAGTGTGGTGGGTTTGTAATTTTAAATAGGGTGGTTGGAGGAGACCCCATTGAGAAACTGACATTTCAGCAATGATTTGAAGAGGGAGAGTCAACCACAGAGGTATCCGGGGGAGGAGCATTCCAGGCAGAGCAGACGGCCAGTGCAAAGGCCCTGAGGCAGGAGTACGCCTGGTGTGTTTGAAGAACAGCAAGCAGGCCTCACTCAAAGAGTGACGGGGTGAGAGGAAGAGAGGAGGGCAGAGGGGTGAGGTGTGGTGGGCAGGTCACACCTATATGGTCTTGCAGGTCACTGAGACTCTTGATTCCACTCTGAATGAGATGGGGGCTATTAGGGAGCTTTGGACAGAAGAACATGAGCTGATACAGGTTTAAAAGGTCCCCTCTGGCTGCTGGGCTGAGAACAGACTGAAAGAGGACAGGGAGGCCAGTGAGGAGGCCACAGTCCAGGTGAGAGGCGATGGCAGCTCAGGCGGTGCGTGCCATGGAGGTGGTGGCAGGTGGTCAGAATCTGGGCATGGTCTGAAGCTGGACAGAAGGATTTCCTGATGGAACAGATATGGAGCATGAGAGAAAGAGAGGAGCCAAGGACGCCTGCCTGCAAGGTTTAGGGCCTGAGCCACCAGAAGGGGGCACTGCCATCAGCTGAGATGGGAAAGCCACTGGTGCAGCATATTTGGGGAAGGATCTAAATGCTCAGTGTCAAGTCGAGAAGCCTATTGGACATCCGGCGGGAGATAGAGAGTGAACGGCTGGATACGAGAGTCTGGCGTAGGACAGCACTGTGGCTGGAGGCAGAGTCGGGAGAGGCTACACACGGGATGAGATCATCAAGGTGAGTGGAGACGGAGGGGAGCACCGGTGCATGTCCACAGAGATGAGGTGGAGCAAAGAGGAGCAAGTGAAGGAGCCTGAGGAGGGACCAGCGAGAAGGAAGGAAAACTGAGAGCATGGGGAGACCTGGAGGTCAAGTGCCAACAGGAAGGCGGGGAAGGTCGACGGTGGCTGATGCTGCTGATGGGGACAGTGAGACAAGCACTGAGGCCTGAGCTGATGACCGCTGTGTTCAACACCATGGAAACTGCTGGCGACCTTGACAGGAACAGCTGCGACAGAGTGGGCGGGTGTAAGAGCAAATGCAGCAGGTATACACTGAGCATGCACACGTGACAGCCGCCGTGCTCACATCACATACTATCCACACTGAGGACTGTCCAGGTTCCAGGGTGGGCTTCCTGACTTCAGAGCCTGGGTTACAAACCACTATGTGAGACCAGCCCAGAGAATATCTGCACGAGTAAAAGAGTGAATCACAAACCACTGGGCGCATATGTCACTCAGCCCGTGGGGGGACACAGGGAAAGAAGAGGGGCCAGGAGGAATCTCCTGGAAATAGGCAGACACCTCAAGGTCCAGGGTAGGAGCACGAACTGTTCTGGGGCAGGGGGCTGGGAAGCCAAGATCTAAGCCCACCTCTGTCACTCAAAGCCAGGTGACCTTGGATAAGTCACTTCCCTGCTCTAAGCCTCGGTGTCCTCTCCATTAGAGGACAGTAATGCTTCTATCCTCCCTAACTCAGAAATAAAAGGCCCATGGAAAAAGCTGGTTTGTTTGCTTTTTTAATCTCAAGCGATCTCTCCTTTTTTCTGCAACCCCTTCTGTCGTACATTAAGAATCCTCCAGCAAGACATTTTTTCCAACTATAGAACGGAAATTCCTGGCTCAGGCTGAGGCTCGGGGCTGCTGTGTGGGGATGGAAGACAGCTGGTCTCTTCCCGCGGAATGTCCTGGAGGCCAGTCAGGGCAGGAGGTGCCTGCTTACAGGAAACGGTTGGCCTGAGTGGCCTGGAGGTTTTGCATCTGACAGTGACAGCCACCTCATGCCATCCTCACCTCTGGGCAGCTCCAGTCCACTCCCTTCCCCATGCTGCCTCACCAAACACCACACTACCCACAAAACGAGGCCTTTCAGCACTTCAGTATTTGCTTACAAATAGACTGCAGAGATTCCAAAGGAGCAATTGTGACAGACCCCATCTTGCATCCTGGTTCCTTTTCATTTTTTAATAAATAAATGAACTCAATGCATTAAACATTCCTTGAGCACAGTACTTAACTGTTACACTAAGCACTTTACAATGTCTTCTCATTTCATCTTCACAACAACCCTGCAAGGGGGACACTGCTATTAATCCCCATTTCAGAATGAGAACTGAGTCACAGAGGTTATACTTGCCCAGGGACTCCCAGCCAGTAAGTGGCAGAGCTGAGATTTTAACCCAGGACTTTCCAACCCCAGCTCACATTTGCAATCAATAAGTTGGTTGGGATACATCATAGCCCAGAATGTCAACCACAAGCCCAGTGCCTAGCACACAGTAGGTAGTCAGGAAAAGCTGGGTGAACGTAAAGAAAGGCTCAGTGCTTGGTGTGGCATCTTCCTCTTTTCCTTCCACCGTGACTCAGAGGCTGTCACACAGGTGGAAGGACCAGGATGGACAAGGCAGTGAAAGGACAGTCCCCCGGCACCACCCAGGCTACTTCCTCTCTCTTCCATCAGTGGCCGTGGCATGGAGACAGGGATGAGCAGATCTGGGGATGGCTGGGTGGGTGGTGTATGCAGCCTTCAGAATGAACTCTGCTGCGAACACTCCAATGCTCACCCCAGCAGCTGCCAGCCATGGATGCCCTGCCACGAGGCATCAGCCCACGTGAAGGGCAGCTCACAGCTACTTCCAGCATTTCAAAAAGCTTCAAGGAAACCACCATCCACTTCCCTACCCCCAGGCCATACAGCCAGCTGACGAGATGCTCACTGAGTCAGCGATCATCCAGGCTGGGCTCCCTGATTCCCCACATAGCAGCCAGAGGGACCCCTGCACATGTAAGTCAGATGCTGTCTGACCTACTACGCAGAGGGTTAAGCCAAGTCCTGGTTTGGCCTGCAAGGCACTGCATGACCCTCCATGACCTGGCCCTGCGTGCAGAAAAGAGTTAACACAGCAGGCCTGACTGCCATCCTAAAAGCCCTGCATACAAGGTTGACTCTTGCCTGGCAGGGTGGGCAAGGTGAGGTACGCAAGCAGCTTCCCGGTCACTGATGAGTTCATCTGTATTCCACACTTCGGGCTCCTTCCGGCTCCAAAGGAAGAGCAGGGCAGAACGGAGCAGTAGCCCACCTGGAGGATGGATATCCACTTACCTCCAGCAGCTGTGCAGCACTGGGCCGGGTTTCTGGGTTCTTATCCAGGGCTGTCTTCAGGAAGTCTCGGAACTCCACAGACCTGGGAGAACAGGTATAAGTGGTGAGCTCAGAGCAGGGTGAGAGCTGAGAAAATTTCCCATGTCTCAGATGCCACTCTCCTGGGCTGTCATATGCTTTCCTAACACACCTCTCAAAGGACAAAGGGTCCCTTCATGGGCTGAAACGATGGACATGACAGGGGCTACATGATGTCCTTCTCATCATGGACATCACTGTCCAAACAGGGATGTAGGAATCAGAGAGGGGCAGGGACTTGCCCGAGGGCACACAGAGAATTACAGCATTGCAGGGATTTGAACACAAGCCCACAATCCCCAGCCTGGGGTTGTGCCACGTGGCAGCTGGGGCTTGGCTTGAGCTCTTACTCTCCCAGTGGGATCTGCTCCTCTGGCTTACTCAGTTTGCTTTGGT